AGAAAGAGAGAGAGAGAGAGATACAGAGAGAGAGAGAGAGAGAGATACAGAGAGACTGACAGACAAAAATTGACAAAGTGAAAGATAAAGAGAGAGAGGGTGGGGGGGAAGAGAGTGAGAGAGAGAGAGAGGGAGAGATAGAGAGAGAGAAAGAGAGAGAGAGAGAGAGAGAGAGAGAATGTGCATGTGTGCATAAGTGTGTGTATACGTGTGTGTGCATAAGTGTGTGTGTATGTGTGTGTGAGCGTGTGTGCGCTTGAGTGTCTAAGTGTGTACATGTATGTGTGAGCATGCGCACATGTGTGTGCGTATCCAATTTTGTTTGTGCAAGCCTGCGAGTGTATGCAAGCCTGTGTGTGTGTGCGCGTGTGCATACATGTGTGTGTGTGTGAGTGTGCACGCGCGTTTATGTATGTGTATGTGTGCACGCGCGTATGCGTGTTCGTCTGTGTAAGATTCACCTGTGCAGCGGGGGGCCGTGCGTCCGTGTAGAGAGGGCCGTCACTACTGGAGGCCGGGCTGGCAGAGCTGCGACTCAGTCTGGCCGGGTCCTGCTCCAAGGCCGGGGAGGCACACGATGAGGCCTCGCTCGACTTACCGCTGGAAGACACACAAAGTTTACAAGTCCCAGTTTCAGTAAAGAGTTTTTTGTTTTTGTTTCAGTAAGTGTTTTACGGCACTTGCAACAAAATTAAGTCATACAAGTGGCTACCTAAGAATTACATCAGAATTACAAAGTTCCATCCGACATTTTTGGATGTTTTGATTTACTAAGACCACGAGGTTAGAAACCAAATGTGAGGCAGCGTGGTGAAATCAGGCGCTTGTCAATATAATGAAAGTGAAGAAACTGGCATTTTTCCTTAGTGAAACTCAAAATCTTTTAGTTTTAGTAAGTGTGTTACGGCACTTACAACACAATAAGGTAATATAAGTGCCGAAGATTAGAGGTGTTACAAGAGAGTAACAACAAACACAAAAAAGAAGGAGGGGAGATAAGGACGATCGATGTTTGATAGGAAAGAAGAAGCAAACCACATTAGAGCACCCGCCAACCACCCACATTAAAGAGTTTCACGGCACTTTCAACACAATTAGGTCATACAATTGGCTACCTCAGAATTACAAAGTTCTATCTGATATTTTTTTATGTTTTCAGTAACTAGGACCATGAGGTCAGAAACCAAAAGTGAGGCAGCGCGGTGAAATCAGGCGCTTGTCAAAATAATGAAAGTGAAGAAACTGGCATTTTTCCGTAGTGAAACTCAAAATCTTTTAGTTTTAGTAAGTGTTTTACGGCACTTGCAACACAATAAGGTCAAATAAGAGGCTACCTCAGAATTACAAAGTTGTATCTGATATTTTTGGGGATGTTTTCAGTTACTAAGACCATGAGGTCAGAAACAAAATGTTCGGCCTACTCTTCCAAAATCATAAGCTTATTCAGATTGTTATCAAGATATTCAAAAATTGCATGCGAAAAAGCTTCACAAGTTGTGAAACTCAAAATCTTTTACGTCAAATTTCTCAAAATAACGTACTGAGCAGAAGGAACTTTGCAATTCTGAGGTAAAGAAATGCCGAGAATAAGAGGATTTACTAGAGAGTATGTTTGTTTTTGTAAAGAGTTTTACGGCACTTGCAACACAATTAACTGGAGAGTTGGTTTGTTTGGTTAAGAATTTTACGGCACTTGCAACACAATTACGTCATGTAAGTGTTGAGAATAAGAGGTGTTACAGGAGAGTATGTTTTGGTAAGAGTTTTACTGCACTTAGGTAATGTAAGTGGTGTTACTAGAGGGTATGTTTGTTTTGGTAAGAATTTGACAGCACTTCCTATAACTCTTTATGATTCAGTCAAATTTTTCTCCTGCTTCAACCCTGGAGAAAAGGAGGAGCGTCAATGACGAAAGATGTTTGATAGGATACAAGGAACAAACCCCATCAGTGCACCCACCTTCAGTTTTGTTAGAGCACGAGTTTTTCTTTCTCAGTTCAGTATTAGTAAGAGTTCTGAGGCACTTGCAACACAATTAGGTCATTCAGGCGCAAAGATTAAAAGTGTTACTAATGAGTAACATACAAAGCAAAGAAAGAGGAAGAGATCAAAGAGATAACATGTGCTGAAAAGGAAAGAAGAAACAAACCACACCAGAACGTCCGTCAACCACTCACGGAGACAGATAATACAATAACCTACAGACAGACAAACTATATTATAGACATCCCAAACTCACCCGTGCATGGCTTGCAGCAGTGGTGAACTGCCCTGCGTCGTTTCCACCACCGCCTGGTTGAGGTACTCGGACCGCAAACAGCTCTCTGCCGTGGGCCGCAGCAAGGGGTTGGGGCACAGCAGTTTGGTCAAGAAGATACCCAAGTTACGGTCCTGTCATGGGGTGGACATGTAAGCCAGGTCAAACGACGAGGGTGTTTGTGGGTGGGGAGTTGGATTGTGGTTGGGGCGTTGTTGGACTATGGGTGGAGTTTTGGTTTGCGAGTGGGTGAGATGCAGATTTGTGGATGGTTAGGGTGTAGGTTTGTGAGTGGGGTTTTGGTTTGTGGGTAGGGTGTAGGTCGATGCTTACCATCTGGTTTTTGTTTTAGTAGAGGTTTTACGGCTCTCGCAATTGCATAAGGTCAAATGAGCGCCAGAAGATTAGAGGTGTTACAAGAGAGTAACAATCATAAAAAAGGAGGGGGAGATAAGGACGATAGATGTTTAATAGGAAAGAAGGAGCAAACCCCACCAGAGCACCCGCCAACCACCCACTTACCATCTGGACGGCAGAGATGTCTACCACTCCGTTCTTGTTCTCCTGGAAGGGAACTTTCGGGTAGTGCATCTGTGGAGGAGGAAAACAACAGACGTATCCGTCACTGGACTGGTCATCTTTGTTTTATTAAGTGTTTTACTGCACTTGCAACACAATAAGGTCATAGTTGAAGTAGCCCCGTCCTCACTGATCTGGTTTAGTTTTAGCTTTAGTACGAGATTTATGGCACTTGCAACACAATAAGGTCAAATAGGTGCCGAAGATTATAGGTGTCACAAGAGAGTAGCAAACATGATAAAGAAGGAGGAGAGATAAGGACGATAGTCGTTTGATTGGAAAGAAGGAGCAAACCACACCAGAGCACCCGCCAACCACCCACAAGGTCATAGTTGAAGCAGCCCCCTCCTGACTGATCTTGTTTTGGTTAAGTTTTTGTTTTAGTTTTAGTAAGAGTTTTACGGCACTAGCAACACAATAAGGTTATATAAGTGCTGAAGATTAGAGGGGATACAAGAGAGTAACAAACACAAAAAAGGAGGGGAGATAAAGACGATAGATGTTTGATAGCAAAGAAAAATAAAACCACACCAGAGAACCCGCCAACCACCCACGGACTTGTCGCCATTCGATGGGTGAAAACATTAGCATGCTTAGCTTTAGCAAGTTTTACGGCACTTGCAACACAAATGGGTCATTCATATAAGTGCCGAAGTATAGAAATGCTATTAAAGAGAAACATTCAAAACCAGGAGAGATAAGATCAACAAATGTTTGATAGTAGAGAAAGAACAAACCACTTTTGGGAAGAGCATCTGTGGAGGAAGAAAGCAGACCTAACCGTCACTGGACTCGTCATCATCATCCGATGTAGGAACAAACTAACATGTTTAGTTTTAGTAAGAGTTTTACAGCACTTGCAACACAAATGGGTCATGTAAGTGCCAAAGAATAGAGGTGTTAAAAGAGAGTAACATTAAAAGAAAAGAACCAGGAGAGATAAGGACACTAGAAATACACTCACACACATGTGCAACATATAACAATTACAATTTGTTTGTCTGAGTGAGTGAGTGTGTGTGTGTGTGTGTGTGTGCATGTGTGTATCGAAGAAGGGGGTGGGGGGGCTGCACTTTTTAAAAACCAGCTTACCCAGAGCGCCATGAGTCCTAGGCAATAGACGTCAATAGCGTGGCAAGGCTCTACCACAATCATGCTCTGCTTCATCTCAGGGGCGGTCAGCTCCAGGTTGCTCTCCGTCATGTACTTTGACCGGCACCGGTCAGCCTGGACAGACAAGAACAACAAATGGTTGTTTTTTTTTAGTTTATTTAAGTAGAGCTTTTACAGCGCTCGCAACTGTATAAGGTCATATGAGCGCCAAGGGTTTGTTTTAGTAGAGGTTTTACGGCGCTCGCAACTGCATAAGGGCATATGAGCGCCAGAAGATTAGAGGTGTTACAAGAGAGTAACAAACATCAAAAAGAAGATAGGGAGATAAGGATGATAGATGTTTGATAGGAAAGAAGGAGCAAACCACACTAGAGCACCTGCCAACCGCCCACTGTGCCAAGGGGTGGATGTCAACAGAGAAGTCTTTACAGGGAATCAGGCTTACTCTACTCATCTCTCTAGCTCCAACAGCATTAAGTACACTTTGACTATCAAAGCACCCCGCAAATAGCAGTTCACAAGAGAGTGACAAACATACAAAAGAAGTAGAGGTAAAATGACAGTAGTAAGGATTAGGAAAGAAAAAGCAGCGGTTCCCCCTAAGTTGTTCCGGCACAGTATGAGAATGACATTGATAAATCAGCCCATTTACAATTTTACTGTGCATAAGAACATGTTAATTCTCTTTGGGAACGGCCTAAAGACATTTCAGTCAGTAGCACTGCCCTGGGGAGGTACAAAGAGAGTCAGATGACACAGACAGACAATAGGAGAGAAGTGATACAGACAGACAATGGGAGCGAGGTGACACAGACAGACAACATTTTATTATTTATTTAGTAGAGGTTTTTACGGTACTTGCAACTGCATAAGGTCATATGAGCGCCAAGGGGTGGATATCAACAGAGAAGTCTTTACAGGGAATCAGGCTTACTCTGCTCACCTCTCTCGCCTCAACAGCACAAAGTCTGCTTCGACTATCAAGGCACCCCGGAAATAGCAGTTCACAAGAGAGTGACAAACAAACAAAAGAAGAAGAGGATAAACGACGATAGTAAGGATGAGGAAAGAATAAGCAGCAGTTCCCCCTATGTTGTTCGGGCACAGTATGAGTATGACATTGAAGAATCAGCTCATTTACAATTCTACTGTGCATAAGAACATGTTAATATCCCCCCTTTGGGAATGACCTAAAGACACTTCAGTCAGTAGTACTGTCCTGGGGGGTGGGGGGTAGCCAGACAGATACAGAGAGGTGACGCAGCATACTACTTGTTGTGTTGGCTGTCTGTTGTTCTTTGTCTGCGCCTGGCTTCCTGGTACCGCTCACTCAGGTACCATAAACTTTATGACCCCTGTAAACTAAGATAGGAGAGTTCATAGGGTGAAGGCCAGGGCTTTGAGTGAGTTAGTTGTTGTGTAGATGCGGGGTAGGAAGGAGGTAGAAATTTTTGCGTGTGCCTTATAAGAGTGAATAAACTACAGTTCTTGAACTCGGTGTTTGTTTAAATTTAAGTATACTTTCAAGAACTTAAAGAACCCACACAAGGACAGCACACTACTCACGTCAGTCAACGAGAAGTCGGGGGGAAGAAGCCTGGCCGTGTCCTCCTCGTCCACCATCACAAACTCGGGCTGGATCTGTCCGTGCACAAAGTTGAAGACGTGCAGAGCTTGCAGGGCCACGCACAAGCTTCTCACGATAGACTGCACTTGCTGGGGAGCAACAGGAGACAAGACAATGCTGAACCTCACTGATTTGTTTGTGTGTATGAGTAAAGAGAAGCACATTGACACAATAATGCTCATTTAGTGCCAGGGGAAAAAGCAAGACAGACAGACAGACAGATGGAAACAACAGCGGGCGGGAAAGTAAGGAAGTAGGACCTTCCAGTGGCACCCTCCAACCATCCGCGAACCTCACTGAGACGGGGGAAACAAACACTGCCAGCATCACAGCGACATGATGAGTCAACCTAAGCACCTCCATTACTGTATGTTAACCCTTACAAGCCGTACGCTTTGTCCCAACAAGTTTAATTTGAAAAAATATGTATTATGCTTTGTCGCAACAAGTTCAATTTGAAATATGTATTTTGCATACGTTTTGTACTCTCCATATAGCATGGGTTTGTTTCATAATAATAAAAAAATCCAATCATTGAGACATTTTCACATAAGCTCAAGTCATACGACTAACAGGCTAGCACTGCTACTTTTTTCAGTTTTCTTTGTTTATATGAGAATAAAGAGAAACATCAACACAATAATGGCCCTTTAGTACTGGGAAAAAGTAAGACAGACACACAGAAACAACAGAGGGAAAGTAAAAAAGTAGGACCTACCAGTGGCACCCTCCAACCACCGACTTAGCTTTCTCCAAACAACAACAAAATGAGTCACGGCGCGGGGGAATCAGGCACTCGTCAATTTTTGGGCACGTAGAGTTTTTCGTATCAACTGAAAGCCGGTTTATTTATCTTGCTTCCAATGAAATATATATCCATTTATCTTGGATAGAACTCAAGGTATTTGCATTTGAAGGAAGTGAGGTCATCTGGTTTCTGTGGCAAAATTCACGAGAAAATGGCCGCCAAAGTTTGGTAACTCCACTAGCTGAACAGTCTTCAGAAACTGCTAATCAATGTTTTTCAGTAAAATTCACATGGAAATGTGTTTTTATATGGACATAAAAGAGATTAAGCCCAAAAATAAAAATTAGTTAAAAATGTCCAAACCGGTGGAAAAATGCCTGTTTCTCCAAATTCGTTATTTTGACGAATGCCTGATTTCACCACGCTGCCTCACTAATTTTACTTGGACAATTGTGTTGTGACCGCGATGGGTCTACGCGAGGGAAGTGTTTATGGAATAGCTGACCTGCTGCGTCTGAGGTATAGTTTTACTTGGGGTGTTTGTTTTTGTTGGTGTGTGTGTGTGTGTGTGTGTGTGTGTGTGTGTGTTCTAATTTTTGTTGGTGAAAGTTTTACTGCACTTGCAACACAATAAGGTCACACACGTGCTGAAGATTTGAGGTGTTACAAGAGAAAGAGTAACAAGCACAAAAAACAAAGAAGGAAAGATACGGAAAATAATTAATGTGAGATAGGAAAGAAGGAGCAAACCACACCAGAGTACCCGCCAACCACCCACTTTTACCTGTTTGGTCAGCACCGACTGTTCCAGTAGAGTGGACAACAGTTCCCCTTGTTTTTTCACCTGGACATAGGCATGCCGGTTGTTCTGTGAACAGCAACAACAACATCATCAATAACTGTTCTGTGAACAGCAACAACAACATCATCAATAATTGTTCTGTGAACAGCAACAACATCATCAATAATTGTTCTGTGAACAGCAACAACATCATCAATAATTGTTCTGTGAACAGCAACAACAACATCATCAATAATCGTCCAACCACTCGCTGCATGTAGTAGTAGTTGAGTGTAGGCTCACTCCCAGCCAGCCAAGAGACCGACATTGGGTTAGTTTGTTTAAGTAAGAGTTTTACGGCACTTGCAAAACAATAAGGTCATACAAGTGCCGAAGATTAGAGGTGTCACAAGAGAGTAACAAACACAAAAATAGAAGGAAGGGAGATAAAGACAATAGATGTTTGATAGGAAAGAAGAAGCAAACATAAAAAAGGAGGAGAGATAAAGACAATAGTTGTTTAATAGGAAAGAAGGAGCAAACCACACCAGAGCACCCACAGACATTGGGTTACAGAGAACTCACTGAACCTGACCTTATCGAAGAAGACTGCATCTACTGGCTGCAGATGTGGCGAGGAGGCGTTGGTGAAGAGACCCATCTGAGAGAGGAAGTCCTCCTTGTCCAGGTGGTTGCCGTCGCTCAGGAAATACTCCTGAAACACAAAACGACGCATCACAGTCATGTTTCCTTTCCCCTTTTGTTTGAGTAAAGAGAAGCATATCCACACAATAAAGGTCATATAGTGCAGAGAAGAAGCAACACAGATAGACAGCGACAACATAGAGAAAGAGAAAGAAAAAACGTAAGACCTTACCAGTGGCACCATCCAACCACCCGCGCAGCAGGGTCACATTTCCATTTCCTCGATTGTTTGAGTGAAAAAAAAAAGCACATCTTGAGCCCTTAAGTAAAGAGAAGCATCCGGACACAACAACTGCCATTTAGCGGCAGAGAAAAAGAAAGACGGACAAACAGACAGACACAAACAACAGAGGAAGAGAAAAGAAAAAACACCCATCTGCACCCCCTCCCCCGTCAACTTCAAACACCCACTGTTGCCTTGATGATTTGTTAAATGTAAATTTGAGTAATGAGAAGCACATCAACCTAATAATGGTCATTTCGTGTAGAGGGGAAAAGACAGACAGAAACTACAGAGGGAGAAAAAAGAGGTAGGACCTATAAGTGGCCCCTCCAATCCTCCACTGTTACCTTGATGATTTGTTTCTTTATTTGAGAAAACAGAAGCACATTGACACAATAACGGTCATTTAGTGTAGGGTAAAAAGGCTGACAAAAACAACAGAGGGAGAATGGAAAAAAAAAAGGAAACAAAAAAAAAAGAGAGGGAAGAGCTACCAGTGGCCCCTTCTAAGCTGTCCATTGTCACCGAAATTTTTTTTTTTTGCAAGTGTTTTACGGCACTTGCAACACAATAAGGTCATATAAATGCCAAAGACTAGAGGTGTTGGAAGAGAGTAACAAACACAAAAAAAGGAGGGGAGATAAAGACAATAGACGTCTGATAGGAAAGCAGAAGCAAACCACACCAGAGGACCTGCCAACCGCCCACTGTTACCTTGATGAGGACAGCCTGGCCGTCATAGACGGAGGTGAATGTGCCGCTGGACGCCCCAGGCACTGGGGTCAGGTTGTAGTGGTCTGGAGCATGGGACGTCTTCACCAGGCCTTTGTACATCTGGGCAGAAACACAAACCCACAACACAACATTAAAACGAGCAAATTAGCAGCAGGCAGAGTATTAACCAGCTAAAACAAGAACATCCAGTCTTTCTACATCTGTGCACACACACACACACACGCACACACACACAGCACAAAATTAAACAAGCAAATTACCAGAAGAACATTGAACATTATCCAGATAAAATAAGAATACACTGATTTTGTACATCTATGAACGCACACACACACACATACCAGAACAAGCAAATTACTTCAACAAAACATAATCGCTTACCATTTACCATATTTGCTTGTTTGTTAGAGGTCAGACAGAAACAATAGAGGAAAAAAAAAGAAGTAGGACCTACCAGCGGCATCCTCCATCCACCATTTAACCATGTACAAGCACAATCATTCACAACAAAAGAACACAATCATTCATCTAGCACGCAATCATTTGCAAGGAAAAAATACAATCAGTCAGCATGCAAACAATCTTTACCAGATATGTTCCAAACCCAGGGTCCTGCTCTGAATTCAGCAATTCCGGGAAATGATCCTTGGCAAGTGTACTCAGCTCACCCTAAAAATAAGAAAACAAAAACAAAACATTGAACAAGGTTTTGAAAAAACAGTTTTATATCGCACAGGTCACTATATAGGTTAAACGCCCCTTCCCACACTGCAAAGTTACTTTACTTAAGAGGTGGGACTCCCAAATTTAACACGTCAAGACCGAGAAAAATGAATGGACAGCCTTACCCCCCCAAACAAAAACAACTTAAGTTCAGAGCGCCAGATTCGGGATTCGGGCAGCGCCCTTCACTTCTTGGTCCAGCATTATACTTATTTAGCTAACGGTGCACTCCCAGTCATAGCATGTCAGGGGGAATGTCCTCCCTGCAAGGACAAGATCCAAAATATCCACACGGATGAACCACAAGGACAAAATGGTACAAACTGAGGTGACTGACAAAAAAACAAATCAAATAAAGTATCACAATATCGCACCAAGAGTTGAAAATATATATTTCATATACCTACAAACAGAACCAAAACAAACAAGTGCAGAATCAATCAGTAAAAGAGTGGGAACCAAAAAAAAAAAAAGCTTTTATTTGGAGGCTCAGTTCATTATCTTCGACAGGATGTATCACACCTCATTTGAATACAAAGAAAAGTGTCCCCAGCAATTAGAATGAAATAAAAGCATACTGAGAGAGCGTTTTATTACGGTTTGACACCATAATAGAAACACTTCAATGCACTTGACGTCATAATAGGGTCTTCTATGCGTTCATTGGACTATATTGAAGGAAATGTCATTTTTATTAAATATCCATTATAAAAAGCTATAAAAATATGTGATGGGTCATATCCCTTCAATACTTACTCCACAAATACCACAAAGAAAATACATGTCAATAGTGTTTTGCTGTGTGTTAACTGGTCAACTCTTTCTTTCTGCTAAAACCATTGCCGAGGTAGATCTGAGCCGAGAGTTTAAAAAAAATTTAAAAATCGCAGTGAGATATTTTATGCCCACCAACAAAATATCCCCAATCAAAAACACACACAGAGAGATGATAATTTCTTCTCACCAACAAAGTGTCCTTTATTGAATACACAATGACCCCCCCTCACCCAACGCAGTAAGACAGAATTAATTCCTCAGCAAAGAGGTTATGTACTATACTACAGCTCGCAACAGAGACGTTACATGTGTCATACATGGGGGGTTCTTACCTTCATAGGCATGGCCGGTGCGCCCCCATTTACATAAACAATCTGAGCCCCCCACCCTGCTCCCGCGAGCTCTAGTATATACAACACTGCCCAGACCCCATATTTCAGAGCAAGCTTGTAGATTTCCTCCTTAGACTGCGAGACACCTTCATTCGAGTCTCGAAAAGTACTCACTCGTCAGTTGAAATGCGCATGTCTTGCCCTTGAGGTTCAGCGTCCCAGGGTGGGCACACGCAGCCCCCGTTTGTTTATGTGGGGGACATCACTGCTACGAACTCTAGTACTAAATATAACCTCTTTGCTACTCACCAATAAATTGTCTTCCTCCATCAAAGCTGTGTGTATTTTGCCTCTGATGGTCTCCAAATCCGACCTGACAAGCTCCAGCTCCTCTGTGTCTTGATTCTTAGAGAAAAAAAAAAAAATGTAGATAACTACTAGTCAACTTTAAGAATTAAGCAAACAAGAAGATGTCTCCATAATTGAATTTTTAGTATACGAAACAAAACCCTGAAGTAACAAACATTCTTACAATATAATAACTATAAACCTGAGCAAAATGACTTAATTGGTTTAATGATATTGATGATTAGCTTTCCGTTCTTTGGGGTAGAAAACACCATCATTAACCCTTCTGTATCTTGTTTATTTTGAGGAGAAAACGTAAGAACTCTTCTGTGTCAAAACAGATTTTTGAAGGGAGAATACATATGCACGTGTATGAATATATGCGGGCGCAGGTGTATGTGCATACAAATGCCGAGTTTGAATTCGCAAGCATGAGTGTGAGTGATGTGTGCGTGTGTGCGCACATATATGAGTGTGTATATATGTATGCATCTGTATGAATATGCGTGTGCGCTCGCGTGTGTGCATGTGTGTGTTCACGCACACGCGCATGTGTGTATCTCTGCCGCTCCCTCACCTCCTCCGCGTCTGCCTTGTCCGCCAGCTTGTGCCTCAGCTTCGACTTGAGGGACTTCAGCTTGCTGCGCACAGCCTGCAGCTTGTCTAGCGAGGGGGCGCTGTGCAGCCAGGGGGTGACCGCCTCCCTCATGGCGGAGAACTCGCTCAGCATGCTGGTCAGCTGGTCCACGCAGGCGCTCTCCTGCCGAAGGTCCTGTAGCAGCAGCTGGGCAAGAGAGCCGATCAGGGCACTGTCCTGGAGATTGTCCTGGCGGAGGGGAGGGGGAGGAGAGTAGAGACACATACAATATGGAGCGGATTGGTGACAGACTAATAGACAAAAACGCCCATAAATCTTATTTAGAAGTCGAAATATTTGTGATTATAGGAGGTGGGGTCGCCTGGTTCCCCAGGTAAAATTAGCGAGAAAATGGCCACCAAAATTTGGTGACTTCCAAAGCTTGAGAGTCCTTGGAAACAACAAATTTACCTTTTTTTGCCTCTGATAAACATTTTCTTCCGTAAAATCCATTTTGTTAAAAAAATCGATAAAAATTGCCATGCCGGCGGAAAAATAAAGATATCTGATTTCATTATTTTTGACGAGTGCCTGATTTCACCATGGCGCCTCACATATATGACCTGTTGCTACCAACTGGGCCGGCAAATATTGATTTCAATTTTCAAGATGGACACGTTTTCTTTATAATCAAATTATCAACTCACTGCAGGCCACATTCTCTATTAATTAGTAGGTCGTCTTGCGGTCCAGAGAAACTGCTTGCAGGCCGTAGTGGGCCCATGCTTGCGGTACACAACAGACGCTGGTGAGGCTAATGTGTGAATGAGTCCAGAGAGGGCCCTGGAATGCCTTGCCCAGTAGTTTAAGAGAGCTCAAATCTATTTTAGTCATTCAAAGGTTAACTAATATCATTTCTGGGTTTTTTATTAATGAAATGGAAGTACTGTTTATGTGTTACAGAGGTATTGTAAAGCGCCCTGAGCCTGTGTACTTCAACCGGGGTTGAGCGTTGAATAATGCCATAATACGTGAAACGTGTTGACAAAATGAATTACCTCTCGGATTCAAATCACATGAAAATAGATACATCCCGCTTGTAGGTTAAGTTTTTACAATTCATAAGTATGAAATAAGAAAAGGCATGTTATAGTTCAAGAATATGGCATCAATAGAAATTCTACAAATTTGGCCCTAGTGTTTTTTTAGTTAGTTATAGTAGAGGGTTTTATGGCGCTCGCAACAGCATAAGGTCATATGAGCGCCTGTTAATTTTGGGCCAATACCTCCATTTGTGGATTGCTAGAAGTAACTCATTTGGTCAGCACGCCTCACACATTATTATCATTACTCACTGAGTCCCAGACAGCGATCTCCTGCTGCAAGACGTCGCTGTAGGCTTTGAGAGTTCCCGCCAAGTCCTCCGACAGCTCACCCTCCTCCGGCTCCCGACTTACTGACAGTTGCTGGACAAAAGGG